TAATTATATGTATATTTATGCGTTTTTGTGCATGTTTATACATATTCATGCAAAAAAATCTTTGACCGGAGAAGTACATACAACATCATTATATTATAGATTCTTTTTATAATTCTAATATTATTATGATTTTATGTTCTAGAGAATATCAACAGTGCTTTCAATACTCAAAATAAAAATCAATCACTATCCAAGTCAAGAAAAAGCCAAAATGACTTTATTATGATATCATAAAAGTCAAAGTAATGATTTTTTGTTACAAAATTTAACTGACATTGAGAATCAAAATAAAGTCATTTCAATGTTTTGTTGGCTTTTGTATGTTTCTTGGATATCTTCCAGTATATTCAATTGGCCAGTAAATTGGATTTCTGTAAGGGTCGAAATCGCAGGTGAAGATATCAGACCTTTCTCTCTCTACCTCGACTGCCTTTCCGCGTGATCATCCCTCTTCTCCGCTCGACGTAAACTAGATCTTCTTCACTTCACGATGATGCGGTACACGGAAGCGGACCCGATGGCGGAGCGGAGTTACGCGCAGCAGCTCAACGACACGTCGACGAACAACGGCGAACAACAATCGCAAGCGACCGGTATCAGACAAAGATATCGCACGTTTTATCGCGCGGAGGACATTTCTTTTTTTTTGCGCAATTTTTTTTCAGAATCAATCATAAATGGCTCATCATTTTTCTCTTTTTATTCCTTTTTTGGTTCCGCCAGCGACGAACGCGGCGACGCAGACGATGGAGCTGCAGGAGAACGCTCCGATCATTCATGCGAATCCCACTATCATCACGGTCCAGCCGGGAGGTGAATAGACTATTTCCCGTTAATTAATAATGAAACTCTAAGGAGCACATTATAAAATCAAGAGAAAATCAAAATGACTTTCTTTTGAAATTCTCATTCTTCTTTTGACTTTCATAAATAAATTTCTGTTACGAAATCTAACTACTTATTAAAAATAAAAATAAAGTCGTTTTGATTTTTTGTTGATTTTTTGTATTTCTTAATTAGAATGATGTCATTAACAGCCGCAATAAAATAATTTATCTCTCCTTTTTTATGCGTTGCGTAAATAAAAACAGAAAATTAAATTATGATAATTTATTTAAATTAATTAATTGAATTACTAATATATAAAAATAAATAAATCTAAAGAACACTGTGCAATGTGTTATATAAACGTTTTTCTTTTTTTTTCATGTAATACAATTGTTGCGTCTCAGCAAAAACAATTTTCCTTAATTAGTTATTGAAGAAATAATTTTTTAGCTTGTTATTAAAATATTTAATATGTAAAACCATTATTCCGATTATATTCTTTATGACAATTTCCGAGCACATGCATATATAATTTTTTTTCATTTCTATGGAAAAAATTTTCAAACAATTGCTCGAAAAAATAAATAAAAATTACAATAGTCTAATCTCTAATCATACAGATATATATATATGTATATATATAT